TGTTGTGTCAAGTCTAAAGACTTGTAGAAATTTTTTACTTAGGTTGAGGTGATGGACGAGGGTCGGTTATGTTTTATCACAGAAAACGAAACTGCAGCGAAACCAAGATCTTCAAAACGAATATTTCACTTATATTTAGATTTATAATTTATCTGTCATGTATTTATCGCTTTTAAATTTAATTTTCTGGAACTATGGAAATTTTGAAAATTAAAAAATCTTGAAAAATTTAAATCCAGGTTGCAAACAAGTTCAATATAAAATCCAATATCTTAATAATCTTCCACTTCTTCGTTCTCAGGTTTCTCGTTCAAATCAAGGAGATAATTTCTCTCATTTGAATCTACTTTATTTATGCCATCTACAAGAACTTCGCCATTTCCATCCTCAGGTTCCTCGTTTAGATCAAAAGAAGAATATTTCTTATTTAAATCTCTTTGATTTATGTCATCTTCAAGAATTTTATTCGGCTCTTCTATCTCGATTTGATTTTCTTCTCCATTATTGCATTCTTCCTCTTCTTGATTAAAACGATTTCCTTCCTCCTCGCAAACAAATGATAATTTAACTAAATTAGTAAAATCACTAGTCTGTGGATTAACAAATGAAGTTCCTTCATTCTTATCAGATTGAACGTTTTTCTTATTTTGTCGCCATTTTCGCCTGTATTCATTCAACTTTTCTTTGTTATTTTGGTAATAAATTTTTCCTTGATTTTTTAACTTTTCCTTATTTTTTTGACGGTAAATTTTCGTAGTTTGACTAATTTTTTCTTTGTTCTTTATATTGTAGTTTTGCTTGTACTCACTTATCTTTTCTTTATTTTGTTTTCGGTAATTTAGACTTTTTTCAATCAACCTTTCTTTATTTTTTTGATAATATTCTTTATCATATACACTTCTGTTAAACACTTTGTTTTCTCTTTTATCTGTGTTCTTTTTAATAATTTTTAGATTAGGTTTCAACGTTTCTTTATATTTTTGAATTTGAGTATTAACCGACGATTCAGCCGTATCATTCAATGTTTTATTAACATCATTTGACGTGTGATCCTTTTCAACATGTCTGGCTAAACTTTTTCGAATGGGAACAGTTTCGACAAATGTCCATATTATCCAATTGAAGATAAAAACGATTAAAAAACTAACAAGTTTCATCCTCATTAAATTCTAAAATTTAATTAAAATTAAAGAAAAAAAATGAAATTTAGTTTAAAATTGAAAATATAAAATAAATAGTGAAGGAATATAAGGGCATTATGTAATATATTTTTTTTATTTGATCTATTTATGAAATCGTCTATGTATAAAAGGGCATTAAAGCATGCAGGCAATTACAAAAGTGTAATTTCTCAACCTTTTCTTTTTAAGTTAGAATAAACAAGTAAAATTCATTGAAAGGAAAGTGCATAATCATAAAAGCAAATTACTTAATAATTTTTTCAAAACTCAAAACTCAATTTTTAAAGCCTTTTTTTCTTTGATTGGTAATCTGACCCGGTTTTAGCTTAGATTTTCTCTGAAACTTTTCAGGTTAATTTATCCAAATTAAAAATACATGTCTTTTCTTTTAAAACAAGTTTATTTAAAAAACAAAGTAAGTTTGAAATAATTCTAATAAGTTAAATTTTGAATACAAGTAAGATGTTGTTAAATGTAAGAGATGTTTATATAGTCATAGATGAAGGGTTGTAATTTGTAGAAAATATGTTTTAGTAGACAATGAATGGAAAGACAATGCAAACAAAGTTTAAACAAAGTAATTAATATTTTAAATATAAGCCGAAGGAAGGTTTTTAAATAGTTGAAAGAAAGAAAAAATACATACGTATTATTTTTAAATAAATAAAAACGGTCATTTTTATAGAGAAAGTGTTTAATATATGGGAAAGTTGAAAAAGGATTTAAATGTTTAAATAAATCCAATCAAAAAACAATTCGAAAAAGATATCTATTGAACAAATGATAATCAATTTTATTTAACAAATTCAAGATCCAACACTCTTTTCTCTTAAAGATTATTGACCACGGTGAAGTTGCGTTGACGACGATTTCCATCACCATTCACACGGACTGGGCTATAACGTTCATTAAATCCTCTTGCGATCCAATTTGCGCATAATAGTAAAACAAACGAGCATCGCGAGCACGCGATCCACTTCGAGCTCTAGCACGCCTATATCCACTTTGAGCTCTACCACGCCTATCTTGCAGTTTATATTTTGCTGCTGCTGCAGTTGATGTTTTTAGTATGTTTTAGTTGATGTTTTTTTAGTATGTTTAGCAGGCAAATTACAAAAGGGAAATTTCTCAACCTTATACTTTTTAAGTCTGAAAAAACAAGTAAAATTCATTGAAAGGAAAGTGCATAATCATAAAAACAAATTACTTAATAATTATTTCAAAACTCGAACCCCTCAAATTTTTTAAAGGATTTGACTCTTTGATTTTTAGTCTGGGCAGGTTTTAACTTAGAGTTCCGCAGAAACTTTCAGGTTAATTTATCCAAATTAAAAATACAAGTCTTTTCTTTTAAAACAAGTTTATTTAAAAGACAAAGCAAGTCTATAATAACTTTACTGAGTTAAATTTTGAATACAAGTAAGGTATAGAGTAAAATTTAAGAGGTGTTTATATAGTCATTGATGAAGGGCGGTGATTTGTGTAAAACATATTTTAGACAATGAATGGGAAAGACAATAAAAACAAAGTTTAAACAAAGTAAATTATTTTAAGGGAAATGTTTAAATAGTTGAAAGGGGAGAAAAGATTATATTAAAATAAATAAAGAAAAGGTATTTAAATAGAAAGTGTTTAATATATTAAGTTGGGAAAGTTGGAAAAAGATGTAAAATATTTAAATATTCAATCAAAATAAAATTATAAAATATATATTTAATAATTAAATGTTAATCAATTTTATTTTAACAAATTCAAAGGTCTATTACTCCTTCTTTAGATTATTAACCACGATAGATGTTGCGTTGACGAACCGTCATTCCCTCGGACTACATATATCTCTCGCCTTCTGGCGATTATGCTTTTGCTGCTGCATTTGAATGTTTTAACTACATTACCCCATTAACTACTGTTTTTTACATTTTATTTTTTTTGTGTTCGATTGAATGAAGATAAGTAATTGCAAAAAATTAAATAAATGATAAGATATAAAATTACTTTAAGGGAAAAATCGGAAATTAAATAGTGAAAGTTATTTAAATTAATATTATTTTAAATATTTATATAGATGTATCCAAAATCTATAAAAAACAATAAAAAATTATTTATTCAAATGAAAATTTTAATAATCACTTAAGAAAATAGAACAAAATTATTGAATAAGATTCCTTTTTCTTACAGAAAAAAATTAAAGTGAATATGGAGAAAGTTGAAAGTAATAGGACTGCCAATCATGGCGATAGATTATGACTAACACATCATGGAAACTTCACATCATGGAAACTTAAATATAGAATTTAATGGGTTGGATAAACTGAAAAACCCGTTATTTTTAATAATTTCCCAGGCATTATCATCAGGTTTCTCATTGAGTTCAAAAGGATGCATTTTTTAATTGAATCTTCTATTTGATTTCTGTTATCTTTTGGCTTTTCTACTTCGTCTTGATTTTTCTCATTTACAGCATTATTGATTCTCCCTTTCCTTGATAAATAGATTTCTTTCCTTAAAATTCTTCTAGAAAACTAATTTAGAAAAAGCCACTAATTTTAGAAAAAAATTAAACGAATTAAACGGCGTTTAGAAGGACCGTATACCGTTTATGCCGTTTATCTAGGACCCGTTTACCGTTTCGTTTAATTTTAGCAAAAAACCCGTTTATCGTATACCGTTTACCTTAGCTAAACGGTTTTGTCCCACTCTATTTCTAAACATAAAAACAAGTAAAATTCATTGAAAGGAAAGTTCGCAGACGAAAAACTTTTTAAAATTATATAATTATTTTAAGGTTAGTTCGGGAGGGGGGGGGTGTACCATATGTACCATAACTCTGGTTGAGTATGGTCTTCTATTCACAAAAAAATATATGAATAAGTTTATCGCGAATAGGGGCAGTTGTACACAAGTTGCAGTTGGTTCCAATTGCATAAGTAGTAACTCACGGCATAAGTCATAAACACAAATGAAGTTTATACAAAACCTATAATCAAACAAACAAACACCCAAAAAGCACAACAACAAACAAAAGTAAACTAACCCTGACTCAACTAACATTTTAAATAATGATTGAAAATTGACCAACTTCCCATTAAAATTGAAAATTGACCGAGGTTAATATTTGACGCCGACAGGATTAAAAAATTAAAAAAAACCATTATATTATTAAGATTAAAACCCATTATCATGGTTTAAAAGCTTTCAAAAAATTGGAAATTTAAAAAGCGATAGTTTATGTCTAATATCGTATTATCGAAGTGATTGACAATTGACCAACTTCCAGTTAAAATTGAAAACTGACCGAGGTTAAAATTTGACGACGACACATGATGATCAGTTCGGTTAGAAAACCCATTATATGGATTAAAAAATTTAAAAAAACCCATTATATTATTAAGATTAAAACACATTATCTAGGTTTATAAGCTTTCAAAAAATTGGAAATTTATCATTATATATTAAAAATAAATAATCGGTGGAAAGAATGTTTATTATGAATAAATTAATTTCAGGAAAATGAAAGAAAAAAGAATTTATGATATTTCATTATTGTGACTTCGACTTGGACTAACTCTTTTTATTAATCTTCCAAATTTTCATCTTCAGGTTCTACGTTCAGATCAAAAGGAAGTATTCTCTTATTCGAATCTATGTAATTTGTATTTGATTCATCTTCAAGAATTTTATTCGGCTCTTCTACCTCGATTTTATTGTGCTCATCTTCGCCATTATTGCATTCTTCCTCCCCTTGATTTGGATTTCCTTCTTCCTCGCAAACAATTGGCAATTTATCTTTATTAGGAAAATTGTCAGTCTGTGGATTAACAGAAAAAATTCCTTCATTATTAACAGATTGATCATTTTTCTTTTTTTGTCGGTATTTTCGCTGGTTTTCAGTCAACCTTTTTTTATTTTTTTGGAAATATTCTTTATTATATTTAATTCTGTTAAACACTTTGCCTTCTCCTTTGTCTTTATCATTTTTAGTAATTTTCAATTTTGGTTTTAAAGTTTCTTTATATTTATGAATTTGAGTATTGACCGACGATCCAGCCCCATCGTTTAATATTTTATTAACATCATTTGACGTGTAATCCTTTTCAACTTGTCTAGCTATCATGTCATCTCCATTAAACATATTTGGATCTTCTACATCGATTTGATTTTCTTCACCATTTTTGCCTTCATCCTCCCGTTGATTGAAAAGATTTCCTTGCTCCTCGCAAACAATTGACAGGTTAACTAAATTAGTAAGATCATCAGTTTGTGATTTAACAAAGGAAGTTCCTTCATTCTTATCAGATTGAGCGTTTTTCTTTTTTTGATAGTATTTACGTTGGTTTTCTTTCAACTTTTCTTTATTATTTTGGTAATAAATTTTATTTCGATGCTCAAACTTTTCCTTATTTTTTTCGTAGTAAATACTATTATATTGACTCCTTTTTCCTGTATTTGTTATATCGTAGTTTCGCTGATTCTCGTTTATCTTATCTTCATTTTTCTGAAAATATTCTTTATTAAATTCTCCTTTGTTAAACACTTTGCCTTCTTTTTTGTCTGTATCCTTTTTAGTAATTTTTAATTTTGGTTTTAACGTTTCTTTATATTTTTGAATTTGAGGATTGACCGACGATTCAACCCCGTCATTTAATGTTCTATTAACATCATTTGACGTGTAATCTTTCACAGTATGTTTATCTATACTTTTTCGAATCGGAACAGTTTTGACAAATGTCCATATAATAAAATTAAAGATTAGAAAGATCTTTAATTCGGGAGTCTGGAATTCACAGTCGGGAGTCTGGAATTCACAGTCGGGAGTCTGGAGTCGGGAGTCTGGAATTCACAATGAAAAAATTTCGAGAATTTTGTAGGGTAAAGAAGCTAGATATCTTCTATTATCAGCACCGCAGGCAAAAATTTTGATAAGTTGAAGGTCGTACTGTGAATTTATATATATGTATGAAGATTTGTTATGTAAAAAGGGCAATAATGCTAAAAAGTACAAGTATAGACGGACGAATTATGAAATCTCAAAGGACAACCATTTTATACTTTAAATACCAAAACAAATAAAATTCATTGACATGAGATTACGTGGGATAATAAATAAATGGTCACATATTTTCACACAACCTTTATTTGCCGGTAATATTATTCTACCGGAAATATGCTAATCATTAAATTATTATTATTTGTTACATTACTTTAATGGTGTGTGTAATATGTAGAGCCTGAAAAAATATGCACGAAAAAACGCAAAATATGCGCATCTATTCACAAAAAAACGCAAAATATGCGCATCTATTCACAAAAAAATATAGAATAAGTTTATCGCGAATAGGGGCAGTTGTACACAAGTTGCAGTTGGTTCCAATTGCATAAGTAGTAACTCACGGCATAAGTCATAAACATAAATGAAGTTTATACAAAACCTATAATCAAACAAACAAACACCCAAAAAGCACAACAACAAACAAAAGTAAACTAACCCTGACTCAACTAACATTTTAATAATGATTGACAATTGACCAACTTCCAGTTAAAATTGAAAACTGACCGAGGTTAAAATTTGACGACGACACATGATGATCAGTTCGGCTAGAAAACCCATTATATGGATTAAAAAATTTAAAAAAACCCATTATATTATTAAGATTAAAACACATTATCTAGGTTTATAAGCTTTCAAAAAATTGGAAATTTATCATTATATATTAAAAATAAATAATCGGTGGAAAGAATGTTTATTATGAATAAATTAATTTCAGGAAAATGAAAGAAAAAAGAATTTATGATATTTCATTATTGTGAGACTAACTCTTTTTATTAATCTTCCAAATTTTCATCTTCAGGTTCCACGTTCAGATCAAAAGGAAGTATCCTCTTATTCGAATCTATGTAATTTGTATTTGATTCATCTTCAAGAATTTTATTCGGCTCTTCTACCTCGATTTTATTTTGCTCATCTTCGCCATTATTGCATTCTTCCTCCCCTTGATTTGGATTTCCTTCTTCCTCGCAAACAATTGGCAATTTATCTTTATTAGGAAAATTGTCAGTCTGTGGATTAACAGAAAAAATTCCTTCATTATTAACAGATTGATCATTTTTCTTTTTTTGTCGGTATTTTCGCTGGTTTTCAGTCAACCTTTTTTTATTTTTTTGGAAATATTCTTTATTATATTTAATTCTGTTAAACACTTTGCCTTCTCCTTTGTCTTTATCATTTTTAGTAATTTTCAAATTTGGTTTTAAAGTTTCTTTATATTTATGAATTTGAGTATTGACCGACGATTCAGCCCCATCGTTTAATATTTTATTAACATCATTTGACGTGTAATCCTTTTCAACTTGTTTAGCTATCATGTCATCTCCATGAATCTTATTTGGATCTTCTACATCGATTTGATTTTCTTCACCATTTTTGCCGTCTTCCTCCCGTTGATTTAAAAGATTTCCATGCTCCTCGCAAACAATTGACAAATTAACTAAACTAGTAAGTTCATCAGTTTGTGATTTAACAAAGGAAGTTCCTTCATTCTTATCAGATTGAGCGTTTTTCTTTTTTTGATAGTATTTACGTTGGTTTTCTTTCAACTTTTCTTTATTATTTTGGTAATAAATTTTATTTCGATGCTCAAACTTTTCCTTATTTTTTTCGTAGTAAATACTATTATATTGACTCCTTTTTCCTGTATTTGTTATATCGTAGTTTCGCTGATTCTCGTTTATCTTATCTTCATTTTTCTGAAAATATTCTTTATTAAATTCTCCTTTGTTAAACACTTTGCCTTCTTTTTTGTCTGTATCCTTTTTAGTAATTTTTAATTTTGGTTTTAACGTTTCTTTATATTTTTGAATTTGAGGATTGACCGACGATTCAACCCCGTCATTTAATGTTCTATTAACATCATTTGACATGTAATCTTTCACAGTATGTTTATCTATACTTTTTCGAATCGGAACAGTTTTGACAAATGTCCATATAATAAAATTAAAGATTAGAAAGATTAAAAAAACTTTCAGGTTTCATCCTAAACAAATTTTAAATTTATTTAAAAATCAATGGAGAATAATAAAATTTAATTTAAAAATCAAATTATAAATTGAAAAATGCTGAGGAAAATAAGTGCATTAGGTAAATTATTTTTTGAATTTGATCTATTTATAATATCGTTTATGTATAAAAGTGCAATAAAGCAGACAGGCAAATTACAAAAGGGTAAATTCACAACCTTGTACTTTTTAAGTTTTAAAAAACAAATAGAATTCGTTGAAAGGAAAGTGCATAATCATAAAAGCAAATTAATTAATAATTATTTCAAAACTCAAAACCGTTAAATATTTTAAAGGATTTGACTCTGATTTTAGTCTGACCCGGTCTTAGCTTAGATTTTCTCTGAAACTTTTCAGGTTGATTTATCAAAATTAAAAATACATGTCTTATCATTTAAAACAAGTTTATTTAAAGGACAAAGCAAGTTTTGAATAATTTTACTAAGTTTAATTTTGAATATAATTAATTTAATAATATATAAGATGTGTTTATATATTCATAACTCGGCCATAGTCATTTTGCAAAAAACCGTATCCAACTGAATAGAAAGTCGAAAAATATTTAAATTAATTTGAAAAATCAAATGTTTATTAATAATTAAAATTATAAAGTGCAATACTAAGTTGCAACCAGAGCTGTTTTGTAATTCTTCTAAAATCGGCAGTCGAATGAATTTCAAAAATAACGAAATCGAAGATCGTTGCCCTTTTCACTGTGCAGTCGAAATTTCTCGATTGTTTGGAGGGAAAAATAAAGACTCTGATATCCGTTCAATTCCAATAATTTCCCAGATATCCGTCTAAATTCCATTATATCCCTCAGAGTTCAACGAAAATTTTGAGGACTTGACTCATTGCCGCCACCAAATCTTCCGATATCCTTAAAATCCTTCAATATTCCCTAATTCCCTTAATCCACCGATATCATGGTGATCGAAGCCTGCCTTCTAGGCACTCAACCCTCGATCAACAAAAGGAAACGTGGGAGAAATATTTCTTTTCCTTTTCCATCAAAAATTTAATGACAAACTACGGGATGTTTTTTGAAATAATATTTTTTCGCAATTTTTATTTCTTATTTTCGTAATTTGTTATTTATTCCTATATTTTCGTAACCGTAATTCGTAACCGTGTTTACCAGCCTGGTATTGCCCTTTTATACATTGTCGATATAAATACATCAAATTCAAAAAATAATCTACAAAATGTCATTATATTCCTCACAATATTTCATTTTATATTTTCAATTTTAAATTAAATTTTATTTTATTCTTTAATTTTAAATTAATTTTAAATTTTTTAGGATGAAATTTGCTAGTTTCATAGCCGTTTTATTCTTCAATTGGATAATCTGGACATTAGTCAAAACTGTTCCAATTCGAAAAAGTTTAGCTAGACAAGTTGAAAAGGATTACACGGCAAATAAAGTTAATAAAATATTAAATGACGGGGCTGAATCTTCTGTCAATCCTCAAATTCAAAAATATAAAAAAACGTTAAAACCAAAATTAAAAATTGCAAAAAAGGACACAGATAAAGGAAAAGGCAAAGTGCTTAACAAAGGAGAATATAATAAAGAATATTATCAAAAAAATAAAGAAAAGTTAATTGAAAAAAATCGAAATTACTATGAGAAGAATAAAGAATATTTTCGAAAATACCGAGAACAGAATAAAGAAAAGATATGTGAGAATCTGCAAAATTACTATAAAAGGAATAAAGAAAAATACAGTCAGGCTACAAGTATTTACTACCAAAAAAATAAGGAAAAGTTAAAGCATCAAAGAAAAATTTATTATCAAAATAATAAAGAAAAGGAGAGTGAATACATGAGAAAATACCGACAAAAAAAGAAAAACGTTCAATCTGATAAGAATGAAGGGACTTCATTTGTTAATTCACAAACTGATGATTTTACTAATAAAGGTAAATTACCAATTGTTTGCGAGATGGAAGGAAATCTTTTTGATCAAGAAGTGGAAGAATGCAATAATGGTGAAGAAGAGGAAACTCAAATCGAGATAGACGAGCCAAATAAAGTTCTTGAATATATCATAAAGAATAAAGATGTAAATAAGAATTTTTCTTTTGATCTGAACGAGATACCTGAGGATGAAGAATAAAAATATTAAAAAGAATGGAAGATTATAATTAAAATAAAGATTATATTAAAAAAAAACTTAGTTTATAGTCGATGAACAAGCATAAATCTTTTTTACTAATACTTGAAAAATTATCCAAAATATACCGTAATTTTTAAAACAAATTAAATCAGAAATTACAATGTCATCAACTCTGCTTTTTCTTTCTCTAGTTCTTAGGGTATATTGCTTGTATCGGCTTAAATACTGATTCAATCCTAGGCCAAAAATCTGGATAACAAAAAAATAAAAATTTACATACAAATTGTTAGTGTAAATCTCATGAAATCCCCCAATATATTTTAATAATTTTCTTACATTTTACATGATAAAATTTAATATATTAATAAAATTTAGACTTAATTCGAGTAAAATAGCTATAAATTATCAATAATTTGCTCAAGATAGGATAGTTTTTGG